TTTTTAAAAAATTATCTTGCCTAGGTTACGGCATCAGCCACATACACCGAGTCTGGTGCATTCAAACCTAACCCAGGCCAGCTAAACAATGACAACTTCAACAAAAAATAGCCAGGTGTTGTGGTGGGCATCTGTAGTCCCATCTATTTGAGAGGCTGAGGCAAGAGAATCGCTTAAACCTAAGAGTTGGAGATTGCTGTGAGCTGTGACTCCACAGCACTCTATCGAAGATGACATAGCAAGACTCTGTCTCAAAAAAAAAAAAAAAAAAAAAGGAAAAGAAAAAAATCCTAAACTTTCTATGGAACTATCAAAGACTATGAATAGCCAAAGTAATCTTGACCAAAAAATACAACGCTGGAGGCATCACACTACCTGACTTCAACATATAGTATAAAGCTATAGTAATTTAGGCCATCTTCTTATATAGGTAGTAAATAAAGCTGCATAAATGGACAAGAAATGCATTAATGTACACAGTTATGATTTAATAAAAAATTGTTAAGAGAAAAAATTTTAAAAGTATGATTAAAACAATAAAAATACAAATGAGAAGGAAAAACAACCTTAGTGTTCAATGCCATGGAAACATTAAGGGATGAAGGAAGGATCCAAATTAAGACGTGATAAAAATAGAAGGAAATCAGAGGAAATGGTATCATTTACACTGAATAACAAATGTTTTAAAGACAGGGAATATGGTCAAAAGTATAAAGTTCTTCAGAGTAATTTTATTTGGCTTCAAACTGCCTTTTGGATTTATAAGCTAGGAGGTCATTAGTAACCTTTATGAGATCAGTGTTAGTGGAGGCTTCCAGCAGAAGTGAGTCTGGATGGTTAAGTTACATTGGATGGAAGAGTGAACAAGAAGTGAGGAAGCATAAGTAGAATGACATAATAAGTACAGGGAATGATACCAAAGTTGAATTCAGATTTGAAGTTTTAGTACATATGCTCAGGTGAATATGACTTTTACACAATAATTTTCCACTTCTTTATAATATATGTATACATGTACTGTGTTTCCCTGAAAATAAGACCTACCAAAAAAATAAGCCCTAGCAGGATTTCTATGCATTTGTTAAATATAAGCCCTACCCCAATAGTAAGACCTAGTGATGGGCATGGCTATGCAGCGTTCTGCTTTTTGGAGTGGAGCAGTAAGGAAGACTGGAATACCTTTTATCTGCCACAGCTCCTTTCTTTGAGTTCGCACTTGCGCTGGTGAGCATGTGGTAACCGCAGTTGCAGGCATCCTATTGCACACCTGCTAATGGCCAGGGAAAAAAATTCATGCATTACTAGCGCCAACCCCACCAACAAGGTTGGCTCCCCCTGTCAGGTTCCAGAAGAAGATGACTTAACTGTATTTGAATAAGTGTAGATTGTTGTATTATACTTAATAAAAAATAAGACATCCCCTGAAAATAAGCCCTAGTGTGTCTTCTTGAGAAAAAATAAATATAAGACAGTGTCTTATTTTCGGGGAAACATGGTACTTAGTAGAAGAACTTAGACTGAAGGAAAAGTCTCATGATCCTATATCTACTTTATGCCTTTAAAATTTTAAAATGTTTTGCCCTCTTCTTTCAGTCCCTTCTCTTACTTTCTTTAAATGAGCCCACTAAATTAGGAAAACTATTTTTTTTTTGATGTCACCCTTGGTAGAGTGCTGTGGTGCCATAGCTCACAGCAACCTCAAACTCTTGGGCTTAAGTGATTCTCTTGCCATAGCCTCCCAAGTAGCTGGGACTACAGGAACCCACTACAAAGCCTGGCTATTTTTTTGTTACAGTTGTCATAGTTGTTTAGTTGGCCCAGGCTGGGTTCGAACCTGCCACCTTCGGTGTATGTAGCTGGCACCGTAACCACTGTGCTATGGGCGCCAAGCCAGGAAAACTATTTTGGGTAAACATGTATTGGTTTGTGTAAAAATTAAATACTGTATATTTTGAAAGAAAATACTACTTTTATGTCAGAGGTTGATAAACTTATTACTTAAAGGTCCAGTTAGTAAATATTTTAGGTTTTGAAGGCCGTATGGTTTTTGTCAAAAACACTCAATCTCTCTGCTCTGGTAGTATGAAAACAGTCATGATAATATGTGAGTAAATGTAGCTGTGCTCCAGTAAAACTTTATTTACAAAACGTAGGGTAGATCATATTTTGGTTGAAAGTGTAAATTTACTTACTGTTGCTTTATATGTTTCAAAAAGAATAATTAAAAAAATTTCCTCCTTTATATTCAGACATTTTGTGGCAGCTAATTTTATGGTTTATTTGTATAAGCAAGGATATCTGAATTCTCTTTCTTCAAATATTCAGGTAAGATTTAAGTTCTATGCTTTATAGATTTTTAAAAAACACTTTTTACATTAAATAAATTCTTTTTAAATACAAAAGGCCCCCAAAATTCACAGGGGCTATTTGTTAATTAATGATTAGGTTTTTCTGAAGTCTTAGTAAACTAAAGACAAATCAGCTCAACCCAGAATCTTTGACACTGCCTATAACATAGGCACTATTTAGTTACTTATTTATTGATATTTTATTGAATGAATGAATATAAATTAAAGAATAAGAAAAGTAGCTACCAATGTTTTTGGACACAAATTACATATCAAAAATATTTTTCTTTTTTTGCTCCCTCCATCCCATCCATCAGTAAATCCTATTGATCCTGCCCTTCAAACTCTATATCCAGAATCCACCCACCTTCTCTAACTAACTCTAACTCTAACTCTGCCTCTGTCCACTGATACTGCCCATTTCCAAGTAAACACTGTATCCGCTTTGGATTATTGTCATAGCTTCCTGAGTAATCTCCCTGCTTCCATACCTTGTCCATCCTCTCAGTCAGTTCTTCACATGAAAATAAGTGTGATCCAATTAAAACCTAGTTAGATCACATCAGTTCTCTGGTCAGGCCACTCCATGGAATGGCCTTGCCTCACCCAGAAAGTGGAAACCAGAGTGCTTTCTTCCAGGCTTCTCACACTCTAGATCCCTTTTACATCTCTGACCTTTTCTTGTTATTCTCTACCTCACTCACTTTGTTCCAGTCACATTGGTCTCCAATTGACTGATTGCTGTTCTTCAATCATACCAGCTATGTTCTCCTTCCAAATATTTGTAATTTCTATTTCCTGAGATCCAAATGATTATTCTTTCCCAAGAGACCCATGTGTATCCTCATTTTCTTCAGGTCTTTATTCAAAATCACTCTATTAGACCTTGACTAATCCTTATTTTAAATTTCCTTCCTACTCTAATATTCCTATGGTAGTTATCAGTATATGATGTACCCTATGTTTTATTTACTTACTTTATTTACTATCTCTCTAGTGTAGTATAATCTGCTGAGAGATTTTGTTCTATTTTTATTCACTGACATGACATAAGTTCCTGGAAAAGTACTCAGCATTCAGTTAACAAAATTAGTTAAATTTGGCACCATGTTGTTTGACTTAAATTTGATGGGACCATCAAAGTTGCCCTTTATTGCTCTTTCTTCTGTTAGTTCCATCATAAAGCAGTGTGTTAATATGAAATATTACATTTATATCAAAATTTATGATGGTATTGAATCTTGGATGTTATATAATCTTTGTTTTTGAGATGTTTGCTACTCTCTGTATTTCTTGTTTGATTGTACTGTGGTTGGAGGCTAAACTCCACAGTTTCAGTCCTCTGAAATTTGTTGAGTCTTACCTTATGGCCCAGAATATGGTTTCATTTTTGTAAATATGCCAT